CCTGTTTGGCCCCCCAGTGGTGAGCACCTACGGCTCCCCATCTGCTGGGCCTCAGCCACTCTATTGTGCTCAGTCCATTCTTAAATCCTCTCATGACCCATCCAACCCTACAGCTCCCACCTTCTCTCTACGTCCCAACTGCTTTGGCTTTTGCTGCCTCCATTTCCCTACTGCTAATCCCCTCCCAATGCTTCACATTCAAACTCCATAAGAGAGAGGATCTATTTAGTCTTTGTTTTGTTTTTGTTTGTCTTTTGAGACAGGGCCTCACTCTGTTGCCCAGGCTAGAGTGCAGTGGCCCAATCATAGCTCACTGCAGCCTGGAACTCCTGGGGTCAAGCAATCCTCCTGCCTCACCTTATCAAGTAGCTAGGACTACAGGCACATGCCACCACGTCCAGCTAATTTTTCAATATTTTGTAGAGATGGGTCTGGCTATGTTGTTCAGGATGGTCTTGAACCCGTGGCCTCAAGTGATCCTCCTTCCTTGTCCTCCCAAAGTGTGGAATTACCTGTGTGAGCCACTGTGCCCAGCCTAATTGGTCTTAATAGGAATTCCCACTCTTTCTGGGCAAAGCTCTCATATAAGGCCACTCCAGACACTACTGGCCAATCCATTGATCAGCTGCTCTTGGCTCACAGGCCACCCTTATCCAATCAGGGGTGGCCATGGAAATAAGGACACCCGATCAGTGTTCCTCAGAAGAGTCTAGGAATATGGATAGTTTTCAGAACCTAATAAACTTTTTAAAAATTCACTGGAAAATAATTGAAATGGTCCTTGCTGTGCCGGAAGACCACCTGAATCCAACCACACTTGAAATGGGCTTACACCTCTGCACAGCGCAGTTACACAAGCCAATGAATTCTTTTTGCTTGAGTTTAGTTTCTGTCATCGCAACCAAAAGCACTGCAACCAATACAGAATCGACTCTCATTTTATTACTTTTTGTCATTTTATCTGATCAGGTGTATCATCATAATCACGTTGGCATAAAAGAGTTGTGGACAGTCGGTGACACTCTAATTGAAGCCTTGGAACTGTCAATAGTCACCTGCACCCCCTCAGTGTAGAGGCAAGAAGAACCTGGAAATTCTTGAATGCTCACCAGCTATTCAGAGGCCACCCATCTGGCTGGCTCCCTCCTAGAGTGTGACATTTTTTTTTCTGCATTTTTTATTAACTTTTTTTATTATTTCAGCATATTATGGGGGTACAAATTTTAAGGTTTCAAATAATGCCCTTTCCCTCCTTCCCCCCACAAGTCAGAGTTTCCAGCATGACCATCCCCCAGATGGTGCACATCTCACTCATTATGTATGTATACACCGTCCCCCTCCCCACCTGCCCAAACCGTTATTACTGTGAGTACCTATGTGTCCACTGTGCTGCTCATTAATACCAGTTTGCTGGTGAGTATATGTGGTGCTTGTTTTTCCATTCTTGGGATACTTCACTTAGTAGTATGGGTTCCAGCTCTAACAGGAAAATATAAGATGTGCTATATCACCATTGTTTCTTAGACCGAATAGTACTCCATGGTATACATATACCACATTTTATTAATCCACTCTTGGATTGATGGGCATTTGGGCTGTTTCCACAGCCTTGCAATTATGAATTGTGCTGCTATGAACATTCGAGTGCAGGTGTCTTTTTTGTAGAGTGTCATTGGATCTTTTGGGTAGATGCCCAGTAATGGGATTGCTGGATCAAGTGGTAGATCCACTTGTATCGCTTTAAGTATCTTATATTGCTTTCACAGCAGGTTGAACTAGTTTGCAGTCCCACCAGCAGTGTGGAGTGTTCCTCTCTCTCTGCATCCACGCCAGCATTTATTGATTGGGGACTTTTTGATAAAGGCCATTCTCACTGGAGTTAAGTGATATCTCATTGTGGTTTTGATTTGCATTTCCCTGATGATTAGAGATGTTGAGCATTTTTCTGTTTGTTGGCATTCTTCTGTCTTCTTTAGAAAAGTTTCTGTTCAAGTTTGCCCACTTTTTGATAGGGTTGTTTGGTTTTTTCTTGCTGATTTTCATGAGTTCTAAGTATATTCTAGTTATTAGCCCCTTATCAGATGTGTAGGATGAGAAAAGTTTCTCCCATTCCGTAGGTTGTCTATTTACTTTCATAACTATTTATTTGGCTGTGCAGAAGCTTTTTAGTTTGATCATGTCCCATTTATTTATTTTCGTTGCTGTGCTGATTGCCTTTTGGGGTCTTCTTCATAAATTCTTTGCCTAGGCCAGTCTAGGAGAGTGTTTCCCACATTTTCCTCTAGAATTCTAATAGTTTCATACCTTAGGCTTAAGTCTGTTATCCAGTGTAAGTTGATTTTTGTGAGAGGTGAAAGGGTGGTGGGCCTGCTTCAGCCTTCTACAAGTGGCTATCCAGTTTTCCCAGCACCATTTATTGAAGAGAGATTCTTTTCCCCAGCGTATGTTTTTGTCTGCTTTGTCAAAGATTAGATGGCTATATGAGGATGGTTTTATATCAGGATTCTCAGATCTGTTCTCACTGGGTCAATATTCCTATTTTTGTGCCAATACCAGATTGATTTAATTACTACAGCTTTGTAGTATAGTTTGATATCTGGCATATTAATACCTGACATTTTTTAAGTGAGCTATGAAGCCCTTTGCCTAAGCCCTTGTTCCCCTAAGGGGCAGCCATGCATACCCAGCAGGCAGCACACCAGTGTAGACATCTCAGTGTACTTAGCAAGGTCTGATCTCTGGAGCCTTTTCTTGTACTTCAGGCCAGCAATGGCCCTCACACTACTGAGCACTTAATTGATCATGATAAAGTGATCCATACTTAATTGATCAGCATTTAATTGATCATGATAAAGTGATCCACACAGAGTAGCCAGCACCAGTGATTATTTCCTATCAGAGTTGGGTGGCACATTAGTCAACATCAGGCAGAAAAACCCAGCAAGGTCTCAGCAGTATTTCCTGAGTGGATTCAGAAACTGATAGTGGTTCTCAAATTTGAACATGCACAGAAGCACAGGGTGGGGTTAGGGGGAAGAGGTGAGGGTAGGTTTGGGAGGACTTGTCAAAACACAGACCGCTGAGCCCCACCTCCAGAGTTTCTGATGCAGCAGGTCAGCAGTGGATCCTAGAATGTGCATTTCTTACAAGTTCTCAGGTGCTGCTGGGGCTGCTGGTCTGGGAACCATACATTGAAAACCACTGAGTTACAAGAAAGCTGGAGAACTGGATAAAGTACTCCTCAGAGGAGAAATTATCTAGCACTTGGTTTTTCTGCTTCCCTGAAGCCGCCATTTCAACAAAGATCCCCTGTCATCTCCATTCTGGGCTCTGAAGCCTTGGACAACTACAGGAGTGAAAATGTAAATCTCCATGAAGAATGATATGCAATACTAACTTCATGCCTGTGGACATAGAGCCAGAAATGTCACATTATGCCTGCATGTCTATCACATGGTCACAGCAGCCCCTAGGTGCAATGATTCCTGATTTACAGGGAAACAAACAGAGGTACCGGATGGCAGTGGCTGTTGTCTAAAGAGAAGGCACATGATGAAGGGAAAATTTTTTGGCCATGAGAATTGTCAAGTGTACATAAAAGTAGAAAAAAAAATAGCATAATGAATCCCCACATGTCTCAACTCTAGTGGACTGTGGCAATGACAGTGGCTCCCAAACTTGAGTGTGCGTTAGAATCACCTGAGATGTGTCACAACAGAGATTGCACAGGTATCGTTCATTCTAGAATTATTAAGACTTTGCCACATTGAAAAGTCTTCTGGTGACAGGTGAGTGCTGGCGTCAAATAAACTCATAGATGATCATCTGTTGTACAGTGGGATAAAAAAAATATCAAACAAACAAGCTCATGCAGGTAGATTTTTGATGTTATCTCTAAAATCTAAGCAGGGACACTCTGCTCAGAAGGAACATTGATAACATACCTCATTTTGGTAGTCCTGTTTGGGCCTGTATTCATTTTTAAAACAACCCAGAAGGGGTGCAACATAGACTGTCATTTGAATAGCTGTTTGATAACTTCTAATAGAAGTAACATACACTCACCCACACGACCAGCAAGTCTGCTCATAGATATTTACCCCCAGAGAAATGGGAGCTTGTGCCCACAAAAAAAAAAAAAAAAAAATTGTACCAGAATATTCACCACAGCTTTCTTTACTCATAATAGCAAAGGGAGGGAGGGAGGAAGCCAGCAGCCAGGTGTTCATCAGCAGGTCAATTTTTTTTTTTAACTGTGATATTTTCACACAGTGGAATACCACTCCAACTACTTTTATATTCCCAACAGGATGAATCCCAAATGTGTTATGTTGAATGAAAGAAGCCAGACACAAGTGAGAACATTCTGTATTATTTCAAGTGTACAAAGTCCAGGAACAGGCAAGACCAATCTCTAGTGACAGAAAGCAGAATATACTGCGGTGGCTGCCTGAGGATGGCTGGGGAGGGTGGGAGAAGATCAAAGAGGAGCAAGATCGAACTTTTTGGGGGCGACGAGCACGTTCTATTTGTTGATCTGGCCGATGCTTCCGCAGGTGTGCACACACATAAAAGTTAATGGAGCTGAACGGGTAAGGTCTGGGCATTTCGCAGCCGTAAGTTAAAGTTCAGTAAAGCACTCTGGGCACACATCCGCAGCCGCACCCACGCGAAATCCCAGGAGGCTCAGTGCCAGCTGCAGCCCGGGCCTTGCCCGCTTCGGAGAGGCCACGGCCCGAGGCATCCGGTTTCCTCCCGCTCCACTCTCGACTTCCGCGCATCTCGCAGGGCCCGGGCTGGCGCTACCTCTCTGGAAAGCGCCGGCCGGCCGGCCGGTCCCCAGCCGGGTCCCTGCCGCTGCGCGCTCCGCGGTCCCGCCCGCCGGACGAGCGCGCCCGCCCTCGCCGGCCCGCCGCCGCCCGCCCCGCCCGGCCCCGCCGCCCCTCCTTATCTGGCCCGGGCCGCGGCCCGCGGCAGGCGGCCGGGCGGGCTGGCGCGCGATGTCGCACGGAGCCGGGCTCGTCCGCACCACGTGCAGCAGCGGCAGCGCGCGCCGGACCGCGGCGGCCCGCCCGCGCGAGCCTCGGAGGGGCTGCTGGACCCCTTGTACCCCCGCACGCACGCGGCCCTGCTGAAGGTGGCGCAGATGTAACGGGCGGGACAGGGGCGGCCGGGGAGGACGGGGCCGGGAGCCCGCGCGCTCCGCGGCTGGACCGCGCCCCGAGCCCCCGGCGACAGCGCGGCGGGCGGGGCGGGACGGGGCCGCGTCGCCGAAGTCAAGTTCCAGGAGGGCTTCGTCCCGCAAAGTTGCCGCTGCAGCCCCCGCGCGCCGGGTCCCCGGGGTCTCAGTTTCCCCAGCCTCCCCTCCGCGGGGCCTGACCCGCCTACTCACAGAAACCGTGGGCAAAAGTTCCTTTTCGTCTTCCTTCCTCTTCTCTGGCCCTGCCGCTTCGAACCCGGGCCGGGGTGAAGAGTCGCCGGGGCGGCGGCGCTGGGGCGGCGAGACCCGACCTGCGGGCCGGCCGCGGCCTCGACTTCCCCTCCGGCCCCCGCGCTGCTCGGCGCCGCGCGCAGCGTCCCCCAGGGAGGAGGTCGCCGGGTCGCGCGCTCCACGGCGGGAAGGAAACAGAACCGGGACCCTGGGCCGGCCCGCCTGGCCCCCTGCGCTCCCGAGTCCCGAGGGCGGGCGGGTGCTGAGCGGGGAAAGGCCTGCTCCAGGGGCTGGCGCTCCTTAGGGGGAGCCGGTCTGGCGACGGGGGCACCTGTGGAGTCAGGCGGGATGAGCCGCTGGGGTTTGAGTGTGGCCCGCGCGGCACAGCGGCTTTCTACCGGGACAGGCATCGCCCGGCCTGCTCTCTGGTTCTCCACTCTCTCCTTTTCTTCCTTCCCATTTTTTTCTTGTTCTAAAAATTTTCATCGTAAACACTCTTTCCGTTTGTAGATTATGTTTTGCAACTGGGTTGGGCCGTTTCGTTTATGACTGTCCGCTTACTGAAATGTTTGCAGCAAGAGTGGTGCAGGGGGCAGGGGCAGTTTTGAAAAGAGGTGTCGGGAAAGGCCTGTAGGGATGGGCACAGGGTCACAGACCCAGAAGCTGGGGCCCGCTAGGGTGGACCGGCTGCAGGGGGCTGGACACAGGGTCAGAGCCATCTGTGCGTCCATAGAGAGCACTGTCATTCCAGACGCTTGAGTGTGAATAAAGGCTCTCATTTCCTGCGTGGGTCAGACCTAAAGGGAAGGGGGAGTTTCCTCCTCCCTAGATGGTGTCTAGATGGACCAGAATTAGGAAGTAGAGGCATTTTAGCAATGTACAGAAATATCTGGTGTTAAGCAGTGTTGGGTTTGAGCAGGGTGCTTTTAAGCCCAGGCTAAGAGATTTCATCAGCCATATAGAGGAGACCAGCCCACCCCCTCATCTTTAAAAGATGGGCTATACCCTAAAATCAAAGTAAAAAAAAAAAAAAGGCAATAAATAAATAAATAAATAAAAGATGGGCTGGGGTGAGGCAGACCCCTGCCTGAGCAGTGGAAGTGATGAGTTTGGTGGACAGAGATTTCCGGGAGGATGGGAAGTCTCTGTTGGTCTGTGGGATTGGTACACAAAGTTAATTGGAGATGAGAAGGCTTCGTGTTGGTCCATGAGTTTGAAGAACAAAGATACTGGGGAATGAGAAACCTCCATCTTTCATTTTAAACTTCTCAGCTAGTCTCTCACCTGTAGCCCTCGTGCCAGGTTGCAGGTGACAGTGATGGGTCCATTGTTCAAAAGAAGAGAACGAAGTACTGAAGAATTACTTTATCTGGCTGTGTCTTCTCTGTGTGCCCTTCTTAAATCTATGCCAGGGGATGTTTACACCTACCTCAGAGGACCCCCTCCTTAGAGCTGCAGGCTAGTCTGATCCGATGCTCTGGGAGTGAAGTTGCCCTTGCAGGATGGCCGAATTACAGTAGAGACTATTCAAGGCCATGGACTTGGGCCTCTTGTCTAACTCCTTCCTATTCTCCTCCTCCTCCTCTATTTGGGGCTCCTGCTTGGGCATTTGATGTTCATTTGTCTTCTTTGCTAGAAAACACTTATTTAACCCAGTGTTAACATTGGGGAAGGGCAGAAGCAGCTAAATTGATGCCCCCCTTTGGACACCCTTTCCATGGGTCTTGTTTTGACCATTGCTGTGTCAGTTGCATACTGAACAGGCTGACCCTTTTGTCCTGGCCTTCCTGTGAAGTGTTTTCATCATGATCTGATCAACTGACCTGCCAACATGTTGCCTTAGGAAATCGTCGAAAAGGCTGTTCTGTTGGAGAACAAACAACTTCCCTTGTTTTTGCCCTCTTCTGGGACCACTACTATTAGAAAATGAGATGAGAAAATAGGAAGAAAATGAATTTCTAAGTTAGTGTTTTACTTGACATGTAATTGACACATATCACTTTGTTGCCCAGGCTAGAGTGAGTGCCGTGGCGTCAGCCTAGCTCACAGCAACCTCAATCTCCTGGGCTGAAGCGATCCTTCTGCCTCAGCCTCCCGAGTAGCTGGGACTACAGGCATGTGCCCACCATGCCCAGCTAATTTTTTCTACATATATTAGTTGGCCAATTAATTTCTTTCTATTTATAGTAGAGAAGGGATCTCGCTCTTGCTCAGGCTGGTTTCGAACTCCTCACCTTGAGCAATCCTCCCACCTCGGCTTCCCAGAGTGCTAGGATTACAGGAGTGAGCCACCGCGCCCCGCCTACAGTTCTTGACTTTAAGGGACTGTTGTTTTTTTTTTCTAATAGTCTGTCTTTTTATTAGCCCATCTATTGTTCTTGATGATGTTCTGGGAAGTATGTATTATGTATCATTTATGTATCATCTCATTAAACGTTTCTAAGAATCCAGTAGAATACCATGTTTGACAGATGAGGAAACTGGCTAAAAAGTTAAAGAGCCACTGAAGTCATACAGCTGTCAGTAGCAGCAGTAGGACGGGCTCATGCCTGATGGCCTCATGCCCCCAGAACTCATAACTCCAGTGGAATTTTTTAATAGATCTAGGGAAATCAAAGCCACTTAACACCTAGGAAGATTGCAACAATAAAAAAGACATAATAACAAGTGGTGAGTATGAGTAGAATGTGAAGAAATTGGAACTCTGGCATGCTGCTATTAGGAATGCAAAATGGTACAGCCACTTTGGAAAGCAGTCTGCAATTTCTTAGAAGTTACCACGTTATTCTACTCCTACCTGTACCGAAGAGAAGTGAAAACATATGTCCACACAAAGACTCATATGTTGATATATGTTCATAATAGCATTATTCATAATAGCCAGAAAGTGGAAACAACAGAAATGTCCATCAAATGATAAATGGATAAACAACAATAAAAAAGTGATACATTCATACGATGGAGTATTATTTAGCAAAAAAAAAAAAACCTTGAGGGGGGAAGGAAGTACTGATACATGTATTAATAACAACATGGATGAACCTTGAAAACATTATATTAAAAGAAAAAGCCATCCCAGGCTGTGGTTAATTTCAAAAAAAAAAAAAAAAAAAAGAAAAAGCCAGTCATGAAAGACCACATATTATATGATTCCATTTAGATGAAATATCCAGAATAGGCAAATTTGTAGACACCAAAAGTAGACAAGTGGTTGCTTAGGGCTGGGGATGGGAGTGTTGAGAGGAAATAGGAAGCGACTGCTGATGGGTATGGGGTTTCTTTGGGGGGTGACAAAAATGTTCATGTGGAAATGAAAACTGTGATGGTTGCAGAACTCTGAATGTGCTGAAAACCCCTGAATTTTTCACTTTAAATAATGTGCTATATAGTGTGTGCATTCTGCCTCAGCCATTAAAAAGAACTAGATGTAGGGAAGAGTTTGAGGGGGCAAGATGCTTTGCATGCAGCCACTGGCTGTGGGGAGGCCACAGATCCCTGTCAGGAAACCCCCCTGGTGTCCCCACCATGTCCACTGAGGGAGGAGGAACGCCCACCACAGGCCTCAGAGTCTGGACTGAAGGGTCAGGTCTCCCGGCATCCCCTGAGTGCCTGAAGGCCCTGAGCTGGAAGGGATGCCCTGGGGTCTGAAGGGGTCCAGATACCCTTGCTGGGGGACTGAGGGGACCCCAGGATGGGGCTCATGGCCTCACCAATGCTCCTTCCTCACCTACTTGTTCACCCAAGCAGAAGTACCACATTCTCCTCCATTTCTACAGACACAGATAACTGTGCCAAAGTTCCTGCCCTCTAGAAATTTGTGCTTCAGCTGAGGAGACAGACAAGTACCACCACTGGCTGGTCAGGAAGATAAAAGTTCTGATAGTTGCCCATTTTAGGGAAGAGGGTCAGAGGGCAAACAAAGGTGACATGTGAGTTGAATCTAGACCGATGAGTGTGAGCTTGTCAGGTTGGAAGCGCCATGTTACCCATGACCCCCCACCCCCCCAGTGCCTTCGTTCAGTGTATGTTTACGTTGGAGACAAGTGATAAGCAGGAGGTAGTGGGAAGGAAAATGATGTAGCAAGAGACAGGCTGGTATTTGGGCAGTTCTTAGTCTTACCACCCCAGACATTTAGAAACTGGCATCAAAATCATTCATTGAGCCTCTGCTGCGCTCTGAACTGTATGCTAGGCATGTGGAATCCGGCTATTAACAAGATAGATTCTTTCTGCCTGTGCAGAGAAACAGGCTGTGACATTTGCACAGCTGTAATATGGAAAGGGAACCAGAATCTAGTCCACAAACAGTGAAGTTGGAAACCTAAATGTCTTCCAGAAGGTTCATTTATTTATTTGGCAAATATTTATTGAGCAGCTAGTGTGTGCTGGGGCACTGTGGAAAGAGGAACAAATAAGACAGATGAGCTCCTGTCCTCTCTGTGTTTTAGTAGAGAAAACGGACATTAATCAAACAGTTGTAAATATATAATTATAAACTAGGACAAATGTTACGGAGGAGAGGTACTCAGTGGTATAGAGCATATAGTAGGGGGTGTGGCCTTTCTTGGGGGGCCAGGAAGGACCCTTCTGAGGAAGCGACATCTGATGTGAGCATCACAAGAAGAAGAAAGAGCACAGCCCACAGCTGAGTCTGGAGGGAGGAGTATCCCCACGGCTGGAGGGGAGGGAACAGGGTGAGAAGAGCATGGGAGAGACTGGAGAAGTATGCAGGGACCAGACCCCAAGGTCTGCCAGATCACGATGAGGATATGGTCCTTGTTCTGAGAAAATCAGGGCAGCAGCATGACATATCAACTCACCATTGATGTGGTTCCCAGCCAGGGTCTGTACTGCCCCCTAGAGGTCATTTTGGAATTTTGTGGAAACTTTTTTTTTTTTTTGGCTGTCACAAGGTAAGAGTTATATATACATTTTATTCATTTCAGGATAGTAATGAGGACTGTGCAAAATAATTTATATCCTAAAAGGACATTTTGTCTGAAATAAGATTAAAGGAACCTACCCAGGCTGGGTGGCACCTGGGTGAGTGTATGAGCCTGGGGAGAGTGCACTAAGTTTTCTGGCAGGAGAGTTGGGTCTTAAAGACCCTCCAGGATGCCTGGGCAGTTCTGGGCTTTACCTTGGGAATTCACAGCTCAGGTGCCAGGTGGAATTAGACTGAGGGGGATCTCAGCCTCTGGTATAGCTGTGAACAAACCTATGAGTGGAGAAAGGTCCAGCATAACCCAGAATGGTCCACCCCTTTATGTTTTGTTTTTAGATCTATGTGGCGGGGATGGGGCTCTGGTTTGGTTCCCATGTGTGATCTGCACACCCATGTCCTACTTCCTGTAAGTTGGAGGCTTAAAGGCAGCAAAGAACCTCACCGCCAAGATTCTTTGAGCTTAACCAGTCTGGTCCAAGGACAAGAAATTACTTTCTGCCAAGCAAACTAAAAAACAAAAAATAATAAAACAAGTTATGGGTTTTATTTCAGATTTTTAAAAAAAGTATTAATTCTTATTCCCAACCAGGGGTGTCACTGCCCCCTAGGGGTCATTTTGAAATTTTGGGGAAACTTTTTTGGTTGTCACAGGGATTAAGGTTATATTATTATTATATATACATTGTATTCATTTCAGGATAGTAATGAGGACTGTGTGAAATACTTTATATTCTAAAAGGATGTTTTGTCTGAAACGAGACTGAAGGAACTTACCCAGTCTGGTTGGACTTTTGGGAAAAAAGATACCAAAAGTTCCCAAAACTTTGAGAAACACAAAGAAGGAAATAAACTCTCCCACCTCCTCTTCCTCAAGATTAATATTTAAGCCGGGCGCGGTGGCTCAAGCCTGTAATCCTAGCTCTCTGGGAGGCTGAGGCGGGCGGATTGCTCAAGGTCAGGAGTTCAAAACCAGCCTGAGCAAGGAGTGAGACCCCGTCTCTACTATAAATAGAAAGAAATTAATTGGCCCAACTGATATATATATAAAAAATTGCCAGGCATGGGTGCGCATGCTGTAGTCTCAGTACTTGGGAGGCTGAGGCAGAAGGATCGCTCGAGCCCAGGAGTTTGAGGTTGCTGTGAGCTAGGCTGACGCCACGGCACTCACTCTAGCCTGGACAACAAAGCGAGACTCTGTCTCAAAAAAAAAAAAAAAAAAGATTAATATTTAAAGTAAAACTTTATAGTATTTTGTAGGAGATACATATAACTTTGGCGTTTTTTAAAACAAAAGTAGGATGATACTATACCCGTTTTTGTAAAATGCCTTTTTTGTTTAATATGTGATGAATATTTTCTCTTGGTACTTAATGTTCATTTGCTATTTGGTTTTTATTAGTGTTGTTGTAGCCAGTCATGGAGGTATTATGGTTTATGTGACCAGCTCCCCTCCTTTTGTGGTAGGAGTTGATTTGATGTTACAAAGGAGTGATGAACTTCTTGTAGTGAAGTCTGGTGTGCAAATCTGTAAATACTCCTCAGGATAAATGGCACTGACCTTTTACAGAGAGAGAAATGAAATGCTTCTTGTTCTTCTGAGGTGGCTGGCATTAAACAATTTTCTGGCCTTTTTAACATCTAGAAATTAATGGGTATCCCTGTATCATGTAGGAATTTCAAGGAACCCAGTGCAATAGTGATAGTATTTTAAGTTGCAATGGTATTTTTGGTGTCTGATGACTTGGAAAAGGAACAATGACAGAGACAGACTGGAAGATTCAGGAATGCTTTTAAATGCACTTATATTTAAGTAATGGCAACAGCAGACCATATCCATTCAGGCTGCAGAGCATAAGGATGTCATAGTCACCGACAAGAATTTGGGGACACTGCAAATAACCACCTGCCACAGGGCTGGGAATCGCTGGCCAGAGGTGAGGCCATATGGTGATGGATGAAGACACCAGCTGAAGGGTCTAGCAGGTGGCAGGGGTTGGAGAAAGGAGGGTCTGTGGTCCGGTGTGAGTCTGGGGAATGTCCCATCGGTTTGCTAGCACTACAGTGGATCCTAGAGCCCC